GCACATGCGACTTTTCGTGGAAAAACTATCATTGGACCCCGTCGAGTACAACTAGAAAAAATCCAATTCCTATATATAAACCAAATGTTGTAGAATCTTCAACACCCGACAAGCTAAATCGTGCAATATTAGCGAAACAAAATATCCATATTTCCGTAGAGGGCACGTTACCCTATGAAGGTGATTTTCGTGAATTAATATTTTTTTTACCATCAAAACATAAAATTAAAGAACGTTTTTTTATTAAATGTTTTAACTTTTAATTTTATCCCGGGACAGATACTAACCGGCACTTTTATGATCCTAAATTGGGAAAGTATGACATTCTGGTTAACTCTCTAAATTCATTCTACGAAACCACAAGAAGGTGATTTATTATTATTTTTTTTTTATATGCACGTTCGTGATTACATTATGTAGTTAATATTATATATATATATATATATATATATATATATATATATATATATATATATATATAATCATCATTTTTAATGTACAGGCATGGAAAGAGAATTTCAAGGAGTAAAAAAAGGATACAATCGGTTGCACGTGGATTAAGTATGGATAATACACCAACTATACTAGAAGACGAGGATTCTCAAACATTACGAGATGTCACATCGGACAGTGGATGTAACTACTATTTTTTTTTTAAATAACACGCGGTTTGCCAAATACATTGTTATAATATACAATAACCAATTTCAGTGAATGATAAAAAAATATTTTTATTGACAGATTCTGAGTATGTTTCCAACGACGACAATAGCGATGATTCAGCTGATTATGAAGGTAATAACTTTTTTTTTAATCTTTAAACGTTATATTATTATTATTATTATTTAGTCTTTCAAATTTATGGATTATTGTAATTTGCCATTATCGTATTTGATTCGATGTTACGCTATACCAGATTACGACGATCTGGGAGATCAGTCGTATGAATGTCAATCGTGTGGTGCAATGATGTGGTACGCTGAGCGCCTTGATAAGCACAGGAACACATCGAGACCCGAGTAATTCTCTGTGTTGTCAGAAAGATAAAGTACAACTGCCTTATATGAAAAATGCCCCACCTACTCTTTCCAATTTATTTTTCGGTACGGATAGGCAGAGCAAACATTTTCAGGACAATATTCGTTCTTACAACATGATGTTTGCTTTCACATCACTTGGCGGAAAGGTCCAAACATCTATTAATACGGGTGCTGGACCATACACATTTTTACTTAAAGGTCAGAATTACCACCTGTTGGGTAGTATGTTACCAGAGGAAGGTGCACGACGTAAATTCGCACAACTTTACATCTTCGATACGGAGAATGAAGTCCGCAATAAAATTGATGCTGTCAGGTAAAATTATTTTCATTTTTCGTGCACCCATTTACAATACATATGAAGTATTTCGAGGCGAGTGCAATTCTTTAATCATTTTTTATTGTAGGTCTGGAAATGGCTCAAACAACCTTGATACTCAAATTGTTGCATCCTTGAAGGATATGATCGACGAGAACAACGTCCTTGCTCAGTCGTATAGAGCTGCCCGTGATCGATTTTCGAGAGAAGGCCTGCAAGGTGTTAAGCTAAAGCTGGTTAAGAGTCGTAGCACCGATGGGAGGACTTACAATCTCCCTAATGCGAGTGAGATAGCAGCGTTGATAGTTGGAGATTTTGACACGCAAGAGGGTGTTAGAGACATTGTGGTTGAGACTCAGTCCAAGAAGTTGCAACGCATTAGTGAACTGCACCCATTGTACCTGCCGTTCCAGTATCCGCTCATATTTCCTTACGGGGAAGATGGATATAGAGAGAATATTGACTTGAGAGACTCTTTTCGAGGTAACAGTGGAAAACGAAAGAACTTAACCATGCGAGAATACTTTGCTTACCGTTTCCAAAAAAGAAGCATCGACAGTCCAGTACTGCTGAATTCAAAAAAGTTGTTCCAACAGCTTGGAGTGGACGCGTATTCCATGATTGAGTCGCAAAGGTCGAATTTTATTAGGCACAACCAGGACCAGTTGCGTGTGGACATGTACAAAGGCATTGAAGAACGTTTTTTCAAAGGGGACACTGAGGGAAAATCAGTTGGAAAAGGCATAATTCTGCCAGGTTCTTTCATTCCTGGACCTCGGTACATGTTCAATAATTTTGTCGACGCACTTCAAATTTGTAACTCGATTGGTTTTCCATCATTGTTCATAACTATTACATGCAACCCACAATGGCCTGAAATACAGAAGGTCCTCAATGATACAAGTCTCAGACCGGAGGATCGCCCTGATATTCTATGTCGCGTATTCAAAATGAAGTTGGACAGTTTGATGACGGATTTCAAGAAGTGACATATATTCGGACGAATTAGAGCACGTAAGTCATGAACTCTTTTTAATAAATTACTTTGTGAGTAAATTCATTACATCAAGTATCGTATTAAAGTATGCATATTAATTTACGTAATTATTTTTATACGCAGATGTGTGTACTATAGAATTTCAGAAACGTGGTCTGCCTCATGCACATATATTGTTGTGGTTGGATAACGATGCCAAACCTAAGTGCTCCGCCGACACCGACAGGATGATCTGTGCGGAAATTCCAGACAAAAAAACCGACAGAAAGATGTACAACTTGGTTGAGAAATACATGATACACGGCCCGTGCGGCCATGCGAATTTGAATTCACCTTGCATGAAGGATGGCGTTTGTACGAAGAGGTTTCCAAAAAAGTTTGTACAGCGAACCGAGGCCGACCCAGATGGTTACCCGGTATATAGGAGAAGGGATGATGGAAGAACGGTTAGGAAGAAGAATACTATTCTTGATAATGGAGTTGTGGTTCCCTACAACCGTGTGTTATTGAGTAAATACCGAGCCCACATCAATATTGAGTTGTGCAACCAGAGCAAGTCAATAAAGTATTTGTTCAAGTACGTCAACAAGGGACACGATCGTGTCACGGCAATATTTTTCCAACCTCCATCTACGGACGTTGATCCTGCTGTTCGTGATGAAATCAAAATGTATTATGACTGCAGATATTTGTCTGCGTGCGAGGCAATGTGGAGGATATTTGCATTTGAGATACATTACCGAGATCCACCCGTCATTAGATTGAGTTTCCATCTCCCCGACAATCAACCGTTGGTATTCAATGAGAACCAATCATTAAAGAGTGTCTTGGAAAGGCCAACCGCGAGGCAAACCATGTTTTTGGCGTGGTTTGAGGCGAACAAGACCTACCCACCAGCTAGGGAGTTACGGTACGCAGAGTTTCCCCAACATTATGTGTACAAGGATGATTCTCGGGTGTGGGTGCCAAGAAAGAAGAGGTTTGCCATTGGAAGAGTCACCAATGTGCCCCCGACAAAGGGAGAAGACTTTTATCTTAGATTGTTGCTCAACGTCCAAAGAGGGTGCAAAAGTTACGAGGACATCAGAACGGTGGGTGGCAATGTTTACGCAACGTTTAGGGATGCGTGCTATATTTTGGGGTTGTTGGAAGATGACCCTGCAATTAGAGAGGCATATGGTTGGGCAAACGGACACTTCCTCAGATTGATGTTCGCTGTTATGTTGCTTTCTAATAGTTTGAGCAGACCGGAACATGTTTGGGAGAAATGTTGGTCCAATTTGTCTGATGATATTACATACAAGCACCAGAAACGTCATAATAATCCAGGTATCGATTAGTTTTGTGGTATTTTACAAATTTTTGTTCAAGTTCTTATTTGTCCGGAACACATTTGTCTTACTATCTATACATTTGTAGATTTGACTCTATCGAATGATAGTTTGAAGAACTACGCGTTGATAGAAATCGAGAAGATCCTACAGAGCAACGGCAAGAGCTTGCGGAATTTTGACTCTATGCTGATGCCACTAGATTCGTCGATGGATGACACGGAGAACCGATTAGTGCTCGATGAGTTGGACTACGATGTATTTGCGATGGCTGAAGAACTGAAACGATATCTTTCTTCTATCACACATGAGCAGAGAAGGGTCTACGATGCCATCATGGATGCTGTGTCGAAGAATTGTGGCGGGATGTACTTCCTCTACGGTCACGGAGGTACCGGAAAGACATTTATATGGAGAACGTTGTCCGCTGCTGTCCGTTCGAAGGGGGAAATAGTTCTTAATGTTGCTTCGAGTGGCATAGCATCGTTGCTGCTTCCCGGTGGCCGGACCGCTCATTCTAGATTTGGACTCCCCATCATTGTGCACGATGGTTCCACCTGCAACATTACACAGCAGAGTCCACAAGCAGAATTGCTTATAAAGGCGAGGCTCATTATATGGGACGAGGCACCGATGATGCATAGATATTGTTTCGAAGCGCTTGACAAGACCTTGCGATCTATCACGCATGTTCCCAAACCATTCGGTGGCAAGGTTGTCGTTCTTGGCGGAGACTTTAGACAGATTTTACCTGTTGTACTGAAGGCATCAAGGCAGGACATTGTTGACGCTACGATCAACTCATCTCAGCTTTGGGAAGAATGTAAGGTTCTTAAGTTGCATACGAATATGAGGCTTCAATCAAGTTCTAATCCATCGGAAGTTGAAGAAGTAAAAGAGTTTGCTGATTGGATACTGAGTATCGGTAATGGGGAGGCGGGAGAGCAAAACGATGGTGAAGCGTCTGTTGAGATTCCCGAGGACATGCTAATTCCCGATTCCGAAGATCCATTATTGGAGTTGTTGCAGTTTGTATATCCGGATTTGTTGAGTAACATATCAAATCCCGATTACTTCCAAGGGAGGGCGGTGCTTGCGCCGACTAATGACTGCGTTGAGTTTGTCAACGAATACTTATGTTCCCTCCTTCCCGGCGAAGAGAAGTTGTACCTCAGTGCGGATAGTATGTGCAAGGATGAGATGAGTTCGGAAGAGAATGCTCAAATTTATACGACCGAATTCCTCAACACCGTGTCTTGCTCCGGTCTCCCTTCACATAGGCTGAAACTCAAGGAAAATGTTCCTGTTATGCTCATACGAAACATCGACCAGGCGAGAGGCCTTTGCAATGGAACCAGACTTCAAGTTGTTAGAATGGGAACTCATGTTCTTAGCTGCAAGGTTCTATCCGGCAAAAATACCGGTGATGTTGTTTTCATTCCTCGGATGACGTTGGTCACGTCGAACTCTACTATGCCAATTAAGTTCCAGAGGCGACAATTTCCACTGATGATTTCCTTTGCAATGACCATCAACAAGAGTCAGGGTCAAACACTTTCCCACGTTGGTTTGTATCTACCCAGACCTGTATTCAGCCACGGTCAGTTGTACGTTGCACTCTCGAGAGTCAAGAGTAGATCTGGCATAAAGATCCTAATCAAGTCCGAATCCGGTGGGTTGTCGAGTTCAACTAGCAACGTTGTTTACAAAGAAGTATTTCAGCGCATATGAAGGTATATGTCGTAAATTATCGTCTATTTATATTATTATAACGATATTTAGTCTTATTAATGTGTGTATATCCTCTTTATGTTTAGGTATGTTTGCACGTGATTTTGTATTTCTAGCATATTCGCTGCATTCGCATTTGGTAAGTAATGTAATGTAAATATTATTTGATTACGCATTATTATCATTGTTGTTTCATAAAGAATGCATTGAACTCAATTCATGCGAAGTACGTAAATTTTGCAGGTTATCTACTATGTACTGTTAGATTTAAGCGGACCAACGAGGTGGTGCAGTGCGTTTGATTCCATTACTTCAATTAGTTCTAGCATTCTCATATCGAAGACATGTTGAATGGAATATTTTATGCATTATGTTATAAACAAATATTATGTTGCTTGGACCAAATATTTTTGTTTAACAACATATTTGCTTATATTAGTTTTATATTTATTTTGAAATATTTTTCTTTACGATCCTAAATTGTTCAATAGTAAATTTGTTCTCGAAGGTGTTCACCGTGCATCGCACGGGTGAAATACTAGTTAAAATAAAATTTGCAATGAAAACATTTCCTAATTATTTTGCTCCCAAGTTCTCACCCGAGTTTCAAATTAGTCCACGTATTTGCAAATTCACTTCAATTTAACCCCTCAAATCATTCATAATCGTACCGACACCCCCATCATCCAACACCCAAAAATGTAATTACATTTACAATTAAAACTTTGCTGTAATAAAACCAGATTAACTGATGGCTTGAACAGAACAGAAACATCAATAGAGGGAAACCTAATTCATGGTTTCATGGTCTTTTGGTGCTGCTAAAGAAGGGTGACTTACAAATTAAGAACAATTTTATCGAAGAACCGTCGTTTACATTAGTAAAATATTACGATTTATGATTCAAATTGTACGATTCAATTCATTTCGATGTGGACCCTTCTCAATTCAAATTGTTCAATAAATCATAAAATTTTGAAAAAATATAGCGATTTACGATTCGATTCATTAAAGAAACAGACTCAATTCAACATACTTGACAAATTATCATAATTTTAAAAAAATCGTACGATTTATATAGTCGCTGCGTACAAATGCAGTTGCTACGAACTCGAACGATGTTCAAACTCCGAATTCAAGAAAAAGTGGCAACAACATATACAAAAGAACTAGGGACCAACAATCACATATTTATGTTACTTTCTTCATGTAATTAACATTTTCCCCAAACACGAACGGTTCGCGGATAACCAACCAACTACACAATTTATAAACACTTGGAATAAACGAGACTAAAACAGGATCGATACTCGAATAGATAGATACACATTAAAATTAGCCAATAAATAAAATAACCTCACAAACAAATTCTTGAAATATCTCGAAACTCAAGGGCAGCAGCCAGAGCACCGAATCAATCCATTCTCGTTGCAATGCGTACACCTCACCAATTTCCCTTCCTCTTCTTCGTAAACTTTCCGACTCCCGTTGCAGTTAGGGCACGGCAAAAACCTAGCATCCCCACAACTTTCACACACGAATCCAAGATCGATCAAAGGAAAACCCTCCAATAATTTTGCTAATTCTCCCGCCTCGTTTAGCTGCTTAATCTCCTCGGCCCCACCAATGTACTTCCCTCGAACAAACACTTGTGGCAAACTCACCGCTTTGCCTTTCAAAGCTTCTTGCAATTCAATCCTATACGACCGATCCATCGAGATATCTCTCTCGTCTACGCACACTCTAAAACCCCTCAAAATCACACGCACCGCACAGCAATCCTCGTACGTTTTCCTTATTCCCCTCAAACTAGTGTAGTAAACCACAATCCTATTGTCAGAAGCACCCGACAAATCGCCGGATTCGTCGATTTCCGAGACTAAAGACTCGATTTTTGTAGTTTTTGTCGAAAAAGACTCGATTTTTTCTGTGGGCTTTTCGCACTCTTGATGTTTACCGAGCAATGCCTTTCGATAACTGGATACTACGTTGCCGTCCATTTTCGCCAGCAAAGATTCCTCGGACAAGTGTTTCCATAGCGGCTTCGATACGGGATTCTCCACAAACTCGTAAGATCTATCTAATTCAATTGCATCCATCTCGATTTTGCCAGGCTTTTTCGGGGAAGGGGATTCGACCATGTGGAAATTGAATTCCTCATCGTCGAGCCCTTCCATGAGTTCCCACGTGTTGATAACGGAGTCCGGCGACAAAGGGTCGTCGGAATTGGCAAAATCCTGAAGCTTCCTCATCTGGGCCGTCGGATTGGGGAAATCCTGGCCGTTGAAATTAGGGTTTGGTGGGTCGTCGATTAGGACGAGGGAGCCGTAGGTGGTGGAGGTGAGAGAAACGAAGTGGTTCGAATCGCCTTTCTTCATCGGCGGGTGGTGGATTAACGGCGTGGGTAGGGATAGGGTTCGAGAAACCGGCGTCGAAGACGGGTCGGAAAACGAGTAATACGGCGAATTCGAGTGCGAAGATGAGTAATTCGAATTAGGGTTTTGCTGCTGGGTGACGAAATTGGCGGGACGAGAAGCCGAGCAGCCCATTTCCGTGATCCGTGAAGGTGAAAACCGAACCGGAGAAAGTGAAAGATTGAAACTTTTTTTTTCTTCTTTTTTTCAGCAATGGATGTAGAGAGAGAAAGTACAATGATTGTAGGGGTTTCTTTCTTTCTCTCTCTACCTTTTCATCTGTCTCTGTTTTTTCTTCCTTTGCATATGGTGTTGTTGGGAGAGGTTTGTCAATGGAGGGAGAAATTAATGCAGTGGGGATAAAGAAGTATAGATACAAGATAGATACAGATTTGAGGTGATCAAAAGCAAAACCTGTTTTGGAAGGAAAGTGAATAAAGACTGGTTTTTTAATATGTGTTCTTGATATATATATATATATATATATATATATATATATATATATATATATATATATATATATTTTTTTTTTTGATTCCATTTGTTCTTGATTAATGTAACGTGTGTTTGAAGTGTTTTAAAATTAATTATTATTTTTTTGCCATATTTGTAATTGAAAAATTAATTGAATTTAGGGGTGTGAGTTGAAATATTTCACAATAGAATAATGCAATTAAATAATGAACCTATATCGTAGTAACAGAAAAACTTCAAGTGTACTTAATTATATGCTGTTTTTTTTTTTTATTGTATAAATAATGTATTTGACTTGGACCTTTTCTTGGCCTAGTAAGTTGAATACATAAAATTTGCAAATTGCAATTGCATAATTAATGTGAGAGTTAATTACATGATTGCGAAATTTTCTAGTTGTTTTCCCATTAAAGTAGTGTTGATAGAAATGGGAAATTAGTCGGAGGTCCCTGAAAAATATTTTTTGTTGTTTCAAGGATATGTGTATTATTTTGACTTGTTGCTAATAGTTTTTGTGTCATTTCTCGTTCTGGATCTGACGGTAGATCTGTAGTCTTTCTAACGGAATTACTTAAGAAGATTAATGGCAATAGTAACGGAATTCTATAAATTTGTAGTCCCTTAAAAATATTAGGTTACAACGAGGGGAAAGAGTGTAACTAAAATTGTATGCGTGTGCGCGCATGTGATTGCGTATGTAGGTGTGCGATTCTGCGTGTGTGAATATGCGCCAGAGTTTCGACGACGAAAGCGACTGGGAGCCCGGGTGAAGTAGATTCGAAGGAGAGCAGTGGAGTTGAACGGAGTCTGACGGAGTGCAGTTAGATTAAACGGGACGAAGACGAATTTAAAGAACATACTTTTTTTAGCAAACTACCAAAATTCGATTGTACTAATCTGAAAGAGTATTATTAGTGCATGTGTGCATTAGCAAATTACTCTCCATAACAGAATGGTAATAACATAACACATATTTCAAACTACGGTGGTGTTTGCAAAATCTTTTTGAAAGTGATTATGAGCTTTTTTTTTTGCTCATAATCTGTTTTCAGGTGTTTGCAAAATTAACTTTTGTTTTTGCTCCTCTTAAAATAATCTGTTTTAAGCTATTTTTATAAAAGCACCCCTAACCCTACTTTTTCTATTTAAGTTTATTTTTCGGAATAATTGCAAACACCCCAACTTTTAGAAATAAACACTTAAAACTAGCTTAACTCAAAATCACTAACTTCTGCTTTTAAATAATCATTTGCAAACACTACCTATATGGGATAAAAATAAATGATTATGTCAAAAAATAAAATTAAAAATAAAATAAAATAAACAATCGTTTTCATATTTCAATCTTCTTGTTTATAGTCACATAATCTTCGGACCAAACAATTTGTTTTCTTCCATTTACAGATAATGTTTATTTCTCTCATTTGTCACAATTTTACCACTGTCCAAATCCTTCCCTCACATGCTTCATCTACACACACACACATACCACACTTGTGTTCTTTTCTTAATCCAAAAAAAAAAATATCTTGCTTGTAGACCAATGTTTTCATTTAAATATTATTTTATAAGAAGAAAATAAATAATACCTGTCACGCATTATTTAATCAAACATTTATCAGGTGTGATCGAAGTCAATAAAATACGTTCACACCGGAAAATAATGAATGATCAAGCACTACCTACATTTTAAAATAATCAATCAACTCCTTGCAATTTAATAATAAAAAAATATGAACTAGTATATAGAAACCCACACTTATGACATGTTGAACACCACCATAGAATTTGCAACCATTTCGCTATGAATAATAATACGAGTAAATTACGGGTAAGCCTGAGATAAGTTCAAATTATAAAATAAAATAAAAAAAAATCATTTTGTTTATATATAATTACAACCAACTCTCGATGAGGAATTTTCGTACACATACATTTTTATGATAACAAATTTAACATAATCTTCTAGATTTCGTGGAATATTCTCTAGTTTGTTTTCGTTTTGTACAAAAATACAGTTTATGATGCATCACAATCTGATATTTACAAGACAAGAGACACATCTTATGATCATTTTGTTTCAAAATATGGAGCTCGAATGGGTAAAACTGGAGAATATTTCACATAATCTTGAAAATTTCACTAAATTTAACACCACATGAATGGAGGTGTAATAAGATTCATCGTTGAGAGGATGGTTGTAATTATCCAACCATGCATCGTAGGTGGCCGTAATTTACCCTAATAATATTTACAAGTCATAAATTTACACGTTTTCAATTCAAAAAACTCGTCAAATTCATGCCACACTCATGAAATGAACATCACACGAAAATTGATTCCTCCCCCATCCCCACACACACACACCCATATGGATGTGTGTACAATTCTTGAATTAGTACCAAAAACCTTATAAAAAACACTCTTCCATTACTACAACATCATCCAATAAAGAACCAACCTTCTTCATTTTCTCATGAAGATCAAAAAGCAAGAAACAAACACCTTCACTTTCTCCATTACATCTATCTCCAACAACAAAAACATGAAACTTATTACCAACTTCAATCCAACTACAACCAGGCTCTTTCTTCAACCTCCCTTCCTTCATCTTCATCTTCATCTTTTCAGCCTCTTTCAACTTCCCACCATTACTATACATATTAAACAAAAGCACGTAAATCCCACCACTCACCGAATCCAATTCCAACAGCTTCTCCGCCACAACTTTCCCCATATCAAGATTCCCATGAATATTACACCCCGACAGAAGCGGGCCCCACGAATACGCAGATTCTTTCAGCGGAGCTCGCTGTAGAAGATCAAACGCCTCCTTCAACTTCCCCGCCCGACCGTATAAATCAACCACGCACGTGTAATGATCGTCTCTCACTTTTAAAGACTCGTTTTTTAAAAGCGCTTTGAAGTAATTTAGCCCTTCTTGCACTAAACCAGCATGGCTGCAAGCAGAGAGCAACGCCACGTAAGTAACCTCGTTCGGTTTGAAGCCCGTCTTCTGCATCTCCTCGAAAACGCTAATCGCCTCTCTTCCAAATCCATGGTGAGCATACGCAGAAATAATCGAGTTAAAACAGACCAAATCCTTGAAACCATTATAATCGAACATTTGTCTAGCCATCTCAATTTCTCCGCATTTCGAGTACATGTTTATAAGTGCAGATATCACGAACTTGCTTTCTTGATAAGCGGTCTTACTTATCACTTGGTGGACTTGCATACCTTCTCCAAGACCGGCCAAGTCACTACAAGCTCCTAAAACACTCGCAAAGGTTGCTTCGTTGGGCTTTACTTTACTGCTCTTGTTCATCACATAGAACAATCTCAACGCTTCTTCGCTTTCGCCTGACTGCATCAGCCCACTTATGATAGCAGTCCAAGAAACGACGTTTTTGCCAGCTGGCATCTCGTCGAACAACTTCCTCGCTTTCTCCAATTCACCGTTTTGGATAAAAGCCGTGATCATTGCGTTCCATGACTGCGCATCCTTTTCGGGCATTTTCTTGAACAAGTTATATGCTTCGGACAACCTCGTATTTTGTGCGTAACCAGTGATCATTGCATTCCAAGAGACCACGTTCCGCTCGGGCACTGTGTCGAAGAGCAATCTTGCCTCGTCTACCCTCTTATTTCTTGCTAATCCAGATATCATTATAGTCCAAGAAATCACATTCTTCAAAGGTGTTCGACTGAAAAACCCCATAGCTTCGTCAATCCTTCCACAGTTTACCAAACCCGAAATCACCGTATTCCAAGAAACGACATTTCTCTCACCCATTTCGTCGAACACCGTCAATGCATGCTCGATTCTACCGCTTCGAACATACCCATCAATCATAGTGTTCCAAGTTACCACATTCTTGTCCGGCATTGCATGAAAAAGCCTCTCGGCCTCGGAAATTCTCTTACTTTTCAAGTAACCGGATATCATAGATGTCCATGTAACGACATCTTTCTTGGCGTCAGCTCTGTCAAACAATTCCCTGGCTTCCTTAACCAGACCACACTTTACGTAACCCGAAATCAAAGCTGTCCACGAAATCACATCTCGGTCAGGCATTACATCAAACAGTTTACGTGCTTCAGAAATCTTGCCCTCACGACACAGCTTGGTGATCATCCAATTCTCCTTGGCAACTACATCTTGCTTCAGTGGGTATTCTTCTCTGGGAATCGAAAATGTTAGAACTTCTTGGGATTGGGTTATTGAGTGATACAATTTCAATTGAGGGTCGCGCTGGAGTTTGAAAAAGTTTATTACACCGATTTCCGGGTGAAAATGTTTGATGAAAGTAAGAACATGTCTTAGAGTTCTTGATGATGACCGAAGAGAAGTTAGCATCTCAATTTCTCAGGTTAAAAATCACTATATATTATTACCATAATTTTTAGGAAGAACATTTTATTTTTAGATGATATCAAGAACGTTATTCAATATTTGTTTAACCAATTTAAAATTATTATTTTATATACACTCACACCACACTTTTCACCGACTGGCGCTCAACAACAATTACAGAGCTGTCACTACTACATAATTGTCACTCAACAAATAATTACAGAACTGCAATCAGTAGTAATAACTGAACTTGCTCTTCATTCGTCTATCAAGTAAATTTGTATCGTTTATGTCTTTCAAGAGGTTTGAATGTATCCGAACTTACGATTTTGCAATTGTATTCATATCAGGGAAAATTGTATTGTTTATGTCTTTCAAGAGGTTTGAATATACTCGAACTTACGATCTTCCAATTTATGCTTCTCATATTCAATCTTTGTGCCCGTGGGGCTGGTTGATTCATTATGATTTACATATCTATCATTCATTGTAATAATATCAACATATACATGGATATATTTGTGATTATATGCAGATTTACGGTTAACAATTACCTAGTGTAAATAATCATGTGTAACATCTAATTTCCCCTAATAAATATACAATACCTTTCTCACTTCAATCGCTTATTTATTTACGGTCATCTCTTTGATGTATGGTCAAATTATGAAAAAACCCCTCTTGTTTTGGTAATTACAGCCACCCCTCATTTTAAATATTTTTACATAAATTATAATTCGATTATTTACCGAACCAAATCGTATTTTCAGTTCGGTAAACGGCATGAAATGTTGGCGTACCGAAATTGTTTCAAACTGCAGTTTGAGAAGAAGTAAATTTCAAGAACCTAAAAACATGTGAAATTTAATCAAACATTTCAAGAACACAAGAACACACACATCAGTAACCAGTCATCATTTTACTATCCTCATCATCAACAACAACACAACTCTACAACAATTCTACTCTTTACAAAGGGGAAAATCAAGAAAATTAAACCCCAAACACACACACACACACACATAACACACAGTAAGCTGACTGGTGCAAAAACCAGATTTTTTTTGATTTACAGACATGATCTTACAAGATGCTAATCAACGCGGAAAGAACCGATTTCTCCGGTTCGCAAAGAACCCGCGATTTCATCGGCCACGTTCAAGCAAGAAATCAACCAACCTCCCAATGCCATCCATATCATCTTTGCCATCCAAACTGTCATACTCAAAGGCACTGCCATTTTTCATTAAAAACAAAACCAAGAAAAAAATAAAATAAAATAAATCCTTTTTTAGCAGCCACCCCCTCTTTTTTCCAGGGGTCAACTCAATATTTTTCTCTTCGATTTATTCGATGATTTCTTGCATCTGTGACTTTGGAATAGAAGTGAAATCAGTTAAAAATCCAAACTTCAGCAGAAAATTTCTTCATTTGACAAACGACCCGTTTCGAGATTCTTCTTCCGATCCTCAGCTCGATTTTTTTTTTCTTCTCTGAGGAAAAATTGCAGCCCACCCACTGATTCGATTCTGTTGACGAAATTCGAGAAAATTCATACGAATCCGAACTCGATATTATGAAAATTCATGTAAACTTGTGTTGGTTGGCGAAGAAATTAGGGTTTATATTTGGTAAAGTTTTCCATGATTGTAATTTACTGGTTGCGTTAAACTGACAAATCGAATGTACATGACTTTTAGTTAATTACATATTCATCCTTACATTTATTGACTATTACAATTTACACCCACAGAAAACAAGCAATTACGATTCTAATCAAAGCGAGCCCCATTTGAATACTAGTCTTCCCGCTCCCTAAAACTTCAGATTTTCATTTGAATCAATTCACTCTTTCTCTCTCTAGTTTCTCTCTCATGGCACCACCGTTCATCTTCCCCCAAACTCTCACTTCCCTTGAAGAAGATAACGATTCCGACTACACGCGCCTCACCGTCCAAAACCCCTCTCCCATATCATCCCTCCGCCCATCGGAGCTTGAAGAATTCGTGAAAGGTCAGTTCTAATTTTGCTGCTAATTTTGGAATCACCCCTGGAAATTCGCTGCTGATTTTGGCATTTTTTAATTTTTAATTTTTGAAATCAGGGGTTTCGTTTGATTTGTCGGACAAGGAATTATTCTGCGTGGAAGAGCAGGAAGTATTTGACCGGGTGTATTCACTCGTGAAGAATTTCACCAGCCTCAGTCCTGGTAGCAAATTCAATCTGGTGGAGTCGCTGAGGTCTAATTTGAGCGTGTTGTTGCCGAATGTCGACTCTCTCTCTCGATCGCGCAGGTCCGTTTCGCGGGACGATGGGCACGACGAGAACAATGAGCCCGGTGGTGAACATTCAGTTGCCGATAGATTGGCATCGCATCGGAATGCCTTCAAGATTTACTCGTTTTTTCTTGTGCATATCCTACTCATCAACGAGTCGAGTTCGAGCTCCGTTAACAATGCTGCTGCTAAAGTAACATTTCTTATCCCTTTGATTAGTATAGTGTAACTGCTTTTTTTCTTATTTGTAGAAATTGTTAGTGACAATAACTTAATTAGCTGCTGACTTAAACCATTACTGAATGTATATCTATGAGCTATTTGAGCGAATCTTGGGGATGCTGATAGTGGTGCGATGTAGATTATGCATTCTTGTGAATGTATGACTTGAAAATCTCGACTGTTTACATGCTCATTTTAGCTGGTATTTTTTTATTTATTTTTTATTTTCCGGTTATGGCCTTATAGATCTAGTATTGTTGATGATTTTTAACCAAATACGATCTTTGCACATAGTAGTCGACTATTGATGTAATCCTAAAGTTGTTTGACACACCTTTGCAGTTTGTTGTTTCTTTTAAAAGAATTAAGTCGTTTTGATTTCTGCTTAGTGGAGAATACATTGTTAATCTTCTATAATGGTGTAGGTGTTAGCTTCCAGTAAGAAGAAACGGCCTGTAGATTCTTGGAATTGGGAGCCTCAGAGAGGAAGAATACTGAATTTAATTGCTAATTCGTTAGAGATCAACCTCTCATTGCTCTTTGGTTCATCTGACCCTGACGAAAACTACTTATCCTTCATTATGAAGTAAGTCGAAATGTTGTTTCTTTTTTTCGTTTCACAAAGTATCAATGCGATTATAATATCTGATACTAAACGTTGCTTGTTGTAGAAATGCATTCCTCATGTTTGAGAATGCGTTGCTGCTCAAAGATTCCGACATAAAAGATGCTTTATGCCGTATAATTGGGACATGCGCAACTAAATACCATTATTTAGCACAATCATGTGCTTCCATTTTGCACATGATTCATAAATATGATTTTGTCGTTACCCATTTGGCTGATGCTGTTGCTGGAGCTGAAAAGAAATATGCTGACGGGAGCATGGCTACTTCCCTTATTCGGGAGATTGGAAGGATGAATCCAAAAGACTATGTTAAAGACACTGTTGGGGCTGAAAATATTGGGAGGTTTCTTGTAGAGCTAGCTGAACGGTTGCCAAAGCTGCTCTCGACTAACATTGGCTTATTGGTCCCACACTTTGGTGGGGAATCTTACAAGATAAGAAATGCACTTGCTGGGGTGCTGGGTAAGTTAATTGCAAAGGCCTTTAATGATGACGAAGGTGAAGTTAGTTCAAAATCTATACGTCTTCGCACAAAACAAGCCATGCTGGAAATTTTGCTGGAGCGCTGTCGTGATGTGTCAGCTTATACTAGGAGTCGGGTTCTTCAGGTTTGGGCTGAATTATGTGAAGAGCACTCCGTCTCAATTGGTTTGTGGAATGAGGTGGCAACAGTTGCTTCTGGGAGGCTGGAAGATAAGAGTGCTATAGTCAGAAAATCGGCACTTAATTTACTTATCATGATGCTGCAGCACAACCCTTTCGGACCCCAACTTCGAGCAACTTCTTTCGAGGCAACTCTAGAGCAGTACAAGAAGAAGTTAACTGAGCTGGCACCAAAATGTACCCCTCAGAACTCAGATGAGCCTCTGTTAGATAACGAAGTTTTGTGTGGAGAGAGTGGGGTGGAAGATGAAGAGGTTGAAGGAGTATCCAAGGATCAGGATAGTTTAAGTGATAGCTGCTTACCAAATGCGGGAGATGGACAGGTTCAGGTGGATAATTCTGTACCGGATGTTGGTAATGTCGAGCAAACAAGAACCTTGGTCGCTTCACTTGAGGCTGGTTTGAGATTCTCGAAATGTATATCTGAATCAATGCCGACCCTTGTTCAGTTAATGGCTTCGTCGTCTTCAGGTGACGTGGAGAATACTATTCTTTTGCTCATGAGATGCAGACAGTTTCAGATTGATGGATCCGAAACCTGCCTCCGCAAGATGCTCCCTTTGGTATGGCTCATTTTGATCACCATTATGGTTTTATTGTTACTAGTTCTTTGATTGAGAGTTTAAAGCTTATGTTTTCTTGATACAAACAGGTTTTTTCTCAAGATAAATCGATTTATGAGGCTGTTGAGAATGCTTTCATCACAATATATATAAGGAAGAACCCGGTGGAAACTGCTAAGAATCTTTTGAATCTTGCCGTAGATTCAAATATTGGAGATCTGGCAGCTTTGGAATTCATACTTGGAGCCCTGGTGTCCAAAGGCGAAATAACTGCTAGCATGGTAAGCTTGTTTCAACAAGGGAACGTATGAGCGAAACATTGGCAGTTTCAATATTGCATCGAATATGTATCTTGATGTAAGACGAGAATGGGGATTTGAATGTATTTCTGGAAATGCTGAAAATTGTTTGTTACAAAACTGTAATTGGATTTTTCAAAAAAATCCTGGATTTAAATTCTTTGACTCGATCATTTTCTCAACTAGATTTTGTTTTTGACGCTTGTTTTCTTGTTCAGTTATCAGCGTTATGGGATTTCTTTTGTTTCAACGTTAGTGGAACTACTGCTGAGCAAAGTCGCGGTGCTTTGTCAGTGTTGTGCATGGCAGCAAAATCTTCACCCACTGTTCTGAGTTCTCACCTTCAAGAAATTGTCGATATTGGATTTGGTCGATGGGCAAAAGTGGAACCACTCCTTGCTAGGACAGCATGCTTAGCACTACAGAGGTTGTGTGAAGAAGACAAGAAAAAGTTGTTGTCAACTAATGGAACTCGTGTGTTTGGTATTTTAGAGAGTTTAGTTTCCGGCTTTTCACTTTCCGAAAATATATGGTATGCTGCCGTTGATAAAGCAATAGCTGCTCTTTATGCTATTCATCCTACACCCGAAACAATAGCTGCAGATCTGGTGAAAAAATCCTTGAAATCTGCATTTGAATCCGGTGAAGGAAGTGAAATGCAAACTGATATTGCTTCTGGCACCACTGTTCAAGTTACGAAACTCAGCAGATATCTATTCATTGTTAGTCACGTTGCAATGAACCAATTGGTCTATATCGAATCATCTATTCGAAAGATTCAGAAAGCAAAATCCAAGAAAGAGAAAATGGATGCTGAGAAGAAGAATCTTGATGCGAATACAGAATCTGATGTACAAAAGGTGAATTGTTTCTGATATGACTGTTTCATGATCAGGGTTCTGCGTTAAAAAAATGTTTGTACTTTCAATTTTATTTTCGTGTCGATTTCTTGCAGGATGATGGCATTAATTCAGAGTTAGGTCTTGCAGCATCGGAGGATGCAATGCTTGATACCTTAGCTGAAAGAGCAGAGAAGGAAATTGTTTCTAGTGGTAGTGCTGAAAAGAACTTGATCGGACACTGTGCACCATTTGTGTCCAAACTATGTAGAAACTTTAGTATAATGCAGAAGGTAATTACCCTAATCTCCTCTCCTCGTATTAGTGCAGCTTAACACAACTTAAAAGGATCGATAATCAGATTTTTCCGTGATTAACTTCTTCTAGTATAATCACTGCATAATTTATATGAAGAACTGATATGAATTCTCTGCTGTTTTAGTATCCTGAACTGCAGGCATCTGGAATGCTTGCTCTATGTCGTCTAATGATAATTGACGCAGACTTTTGGTAAATAAATAAATTTATTATAAATTCAATGTCTTACGTCCAAATACAGCATCGTCTACTTCAAATCATCTTTATCTTTTTTTCTCACTTGTCAGTGAATCAAATCTCCAACTGCTTTTCACCGTTGTGGAGAATGCGGTGTCAGATACCGTCCGATCAAATTGCACCATAGCTCTTGGAGATCTGGCCGTTCGTTTTCCCAACCTATTAGAGCCCTGGACAGAAAACATGTACGCACGTCTTCGAGATCAGTCCGTGTCTGTCCGAAAGAATGCTGTCTTGGTTCTTTCCCATCTTATACTAAACGATATGATGAAGGTTTGAACGACTGGCAGAATCTCTTCTTGTTTGTTTTCCTGTTGACTAAAATGTGTGGTATCGATTTTGACCGTTCGAATGTTTAGGTGAAAGGCTATATAAATGAGATGTGCATGAGGTTAGAAGATGAAGATGAAAGGATTTCAAATTTAGCCAAATTGTTTTTTCACGAGCTATCGAAAAAAGGTGCTACCCTATTATAGACTGAAATTAGTTTTCACTCGTCTATTTCCGATTAATGGAAAATAATCGAAATTTTTAATATTTTATCGTAGGAAGCAATCCTATATATAACCTGCTTCCAGATATTCTTGGAAAATTGTCCTGCCAGAACTTGAAAGGGGAGTCCTTTTGCAACATTATGCAGTTTCTAATTGCTACCATCAAGAAGGTGTTGCAATCGTTTAGCGCGGTCTTCGATTTCGCAATTTGCATATTACGTATGTATTGGCTTATATATATAGTTGACTTTTTTCAGGATAAACAAATGGAAGCTCTAGTTGAGAAGCTATGCAACAGGTTCACAGGTGTCTCAGGTAATCATAAAATGGCAGATTATTTTGTTGTCGGGTTTCTTTGTTTGTCGACAAATGGCAAAACTAACTGTAATTTTACGTACAATGTCGTTTATGGGGTGTAGATATTAGACAGTGGGAATATATTTCTTACTGTCTCTCTCAGCTAGCATTTACCGAGAAGAGCATGAGGAGGCTGATGGAGTCGATTAAGGCGTACGAACATGTCTTATCGGAAGACACTGTTATGGATAATTTTAGAAATATAATTAATAAGGTCCGTTTACTGACTCGCGATGTCGTTTCACACCTATATATATATGATGTAGATGATATATAAAAAAAATTCGGACACGTTATTCTTTCAGGGGAAAAAGTTTGCGAAACCGGAGGTGAAATCGAGCATTGAAGAGTTTGAGGAGAGGATTAATAAGTTGCACAACGAAAAGAAGGAACAAGTACTAACCGAAAAGAATGCGCAAGCACATCAAGAAAAGGTTGATAATTTCGAAAGCTTAATTGCAACCAAGAAAGATGGAGACGAAAGCGGTGAATCCGAAATCACCGAGGGTAGGTGCAATTATAAAAAGTTGGATTTTTTTTCTTTTTTCCGATAGAATGTGAACATTAAATTTGTTATTCATAAACGGTTTGATTTGAAGTGATTTATGATTCTTACATTTGAAATGAAATAGACGAAGAAGAAGAGGAGGAAGAGGAAGAAGAAGAGTTTGATAATTCAGTGGAGAATAGTGAAATTTTGTGTACGAAATCGAAAGGCAAGAAATCGAGAACACGTTCGGATGGTTTGAGTGAGGTGACTGAGTTGGAATCGGGTGATGATGAAGAAGTTGAATCATCTTCTGTTCATCTAAGAGGTTAATTTATTTGAAACTTATTGCTAAAGTTAATATTATTATTATTAAAAAAATATTATTAATATGATAGCTATTATAATATTTGCAGATGCATCTAAATCCAGGACTAAGAGAAGCAGCACAAGGTCTCGAAATGTTTGTCCTGACAGCTCCGTTAGAAGAACGACGAGGTCTAACCGAAGGTCTCTCTCTCTCTCTCTCTCTCTCATGACAAACCTCTAAAAACAAGAATGGTGGTGATTGCAGGTAGGGAATGAAGGACAGAAAATGCATGTTTCTGGATATGAAAACGTTGTTGTAGATGTGTATGTATTGTGTGTAATCATGTGTGGTTTTTTAAATTTCATTACATATAATACTTTTATGTATACATACAGACCACATTCAACTCAAATGTGGTATGTATGCCTTGTAATGAACTTGCTTTTTTTCTGCTTATATTATTCGGCTTTTTTCCCTTTTGGGTTCGTCGCACGTTTTAGTCGAACATTAAATGCTACACCTGGTTATTTACAACAAATATCAATTTAATTAAAGAACATAAAATTTGTTAAGTACCCCAAATTAAACTATATATTAATTTCAAAATGAAGTCAGTAAGTGCAACAACATAAAATAGGGGTTTTAATGAAATTATGTGGGTGTTTATGTTTTTCATAAAGAATATATATTTATAATAATATTATTATACTTATTTTTTTGGTGAGAAATTCAAAATATTCGAAATTGTTTATGGAAATTAAATATCAATTTTGATTGAAAAAAAAATTGAAAAGCAGATTTTCAGATATCAAAATGGGAAAAGAAAACTATTCCTAAATCAAAATATATATAATTCCAAATTTGGCCCTATTAGTTATAGTTGTCATTGCAAATTAGTAACCTTTTAAGAGATAATCTTAAATAAAGATTATTTGTAGCATCCGCTAATTGTTTAAATAATTTTTAATTATTTATTCTAATTGTGAGGATAAGATTCTGTGATCATGACTAAATATCAGATTGACACTGATTAAGCATTGACAAAGATTCTTGTTCGAACAAATCCACACATTATTATAGCTAATTTTTTTTAGGACAATTTGCTAAAAATCACTATAATCTTAATTAGAGCTCGTTTGGTTAAGATTATTTTAAACATTTGATAAGTTCTTACATCTAATAAGCTATTTTAAGAGCTGATAAGATATTACGTATTATTTTTAGAATTAAATTTTAGAGTTTTTGGGTAGCCAGCTTATCTTACTCATTATAAGATCGTAAAATATGGGGCCAAAGTATTTTTTTCAAAAATATCTTAAAAGCTCAGCAACAACTTATTTTGTGAACTTTTAAGCTCCTTTAAAAAAAATTACCAAAGACTTTAAAAGAGCTTATAAACTCTTAAACATCGTATTAACTCTTTTTAACAACTTATAACTTCAGCCAAACATGCTCCTAATCTTATTTACAAATAATATCAATTACAATAAATATATGAATATGGAATGACAACCACACTATATATAGTCTCTTAATATGGTAAGATATATATATATATATATATAAGACATGGTTGATGGTCTAATTACTCTCTCTCTCTCTCTCTCTCTCTCTCTCTCTCTCTCTCTCTCTCTCTCTCTCTCTCTCTCTCTCTCTCTCTCTCTCTCTCTCTCTCTCACACACACACACACACACACACACGTGTATTTTCTTTTTATATATAAAGACACACATGCAGTTAGTTATTTATATATCACACCAACTATAATTTGTGTCTGAACAAGTTGAACATTAACAATGGCGGCCTCTGCTTTGTGTCTGAGATCACTCTGTACTTCTCTTCCCACAACCCCAGCTGATCAACAACATGTATATATTTTTCAACCTAATTCATTTTTATTTTTTTTATTATTATTTATGAATTTATATAATATTAATTAATATTATTGGAAGGTTCTTTCTCATTGTGTGTAAAGATTCAAACTTAACTAAAAAAAATCGGCAATAGGCGTTGGGGCTAACC